ATAAGGTAGCACAAGTTATTGGCTGAACTCTACTCAGAAACCATTCCATTCCTTAGAGTAGAACTGAAAGCAAAACGTTTTTTGTTCATTTCAGATAGAGTAAGGGAGGCTTAATACCCCTGTCATGTTTTTTTTTTTCATTCCCATTGGGCAGATTTCATTCACATCCTGTTCCATACCCAACACAAAAAGTGAGAAGCCCCTTAAAAGAGGGGAAATCTCTGGTTGTCACCAGGGTCATTAGAACTAGAGTCCTCCTTGTAAGATTTCCCTTCTATTCCTGTTCTGGTGAAAACCCCACATTTGGGATTTACTTACACTTTTTGTGATAGCAGTAAACAGGAAAATACAGAGTATGAATCTCCTTACAAATGTGTGAAAGCCAATGTCTAAATACATGTGATATTAAAGGTTTCTTTTCTTTTTTTTTTAAATAACAAACATGTTATAATTGCCTACTCTGTGCAATGGTTTTGCACAGAGCAGCCTTCTCTGGCTGATCTTCTTCTAGGGTCCCCTGCCAGCGATCCTGGTTCTTCCCCCTTGACCAGTGCCCCCAATAGCAAGCTGCTTGCTATAGGGACACTGTTGCGTTCTCATTCTCAAGTCCCACTCTATGTGTCCATAAGACACATAGAGCCGCCGCTTGGCCCTGCCATCCTCCTCAGTGGCTCACTGGCTCACTGGCTGTTATTGACAGCAGTGGGAGTCAATGGCTCCACTGCTGCATCTCAGCCAATGAGGAGAGAGAGACCCCGGACAGCCAAGGCTGCCATGCACAATGTTGAATCGAGAGGGGGCTCAGGTGAGTATTGGGGGGCTGTGGGGGGAGCAGCACACAGGTTTTTTACCTCCATGCATAGAATGTATGAAGGTAAAAATCCTTCAGCCTTTAAAACCACTTTAAGGTGGTTTGAGAATTATGGTTATGCAGAAAACAGGGTCCTAAAGCTTTTTCTTTATTTTAATTGGGGGTTCTAATATATATTAATAAGAAATAATAAAAAACTTATTTTTGTTTGTGTGTAGTAAGTATGCAAAACACTGCTACTGCATAGATTTAAAGCTGGTCATAAATCAATGGCCATAATTAGACAACTCATGGGGCAATAGGGGATCATGGGGCCCCTGTGTCCTTGCCCAAACTCAAAAAAGCCTATGAAAAATGCACCAGGGGCATCTCATGGGGCCCCCTATTGACCCTGGGCCCTCGGGCAGTGCCCGAGTTTCCAAATGGTCAGTCTGCCCCTGGACAGAGCTCATGTCAATATAAGTGCCCCGTCCAGTTGGCTGGCTTAGCAATCTCCAATTAGGAGGGTTCTATACTCAGCACAGAAAGCAAGGTTCACCAAGTAGAAAGGTTGGCCCCCTCTTTTTGGCCCTTATGTCTGCAGCAGGGGCGGACTGACAACTCATGCTGCCCCCGGGCAATAGGGGATCATGGGGCTCCTGTGACCTTGCCCAAACTCAAAAAAGCCTATGAAAAAGGTACCAGGGGCATCTCATGGGGCCCCCTATTGACCCTGGGCCCTCTGGCAGTGCCCGAGTTTCCAGATGGTCAGTCCGCCCCTGTACGGGGCTTAACAGATTCTTTTTACTGGAAATTTTGCAAATGTTTTTTTCCTAACAGCCGCTCAAGCTACTCATACCGAAAGTATAACCCGTGGCAGGGGTGATGAGGTCATGAATCTTCCTGACATGTCTTAAAGAAGGGTTTCAGATAACCCTTGGCATACTCCCATGGTCTACAAGCCAACTTTGCTACAAAACCGGAACTTTTGGTTTGCATGTGTTGTGATGCGTGTCCAAACTGTTCAGCTGTCGTGCGATTCTACACAATATATGTGTACCATATGTGTAGTTTGCTAGAAGTGTATAAGAATGTGTAGCAGTGTGCAGAGGGTTAACTGGCAATACTAGGCGTTAATGTGCTCACACCCATCTAACACCATCTTTCTTATATTTCTGTGAGCTCTTTCAATTTAGTAACAGATTTTTTTTTTTAGTTCCATTTTTAGAAACTTTAGAGTTGTTTCCGTTTTGTGAAAAAACAAGCTACAGCATTGGCAGTAAATCATTGTTGAATTCCGGAATATGTTAGGTCCATATCACACCAGGCATCCTGTTGCTGGCTGAAAAGGTCTCACTGGTCAGTGGTGTATTTAGGTTTCATGGCGCCCTAGGCAACACAAAAATTGGCACCCCCCCTTGGAGAAATCCTGACACTGACAAACACCCCCCTCTCCCATGATAAGATCCCAGGGGCGGACTGATCATTCAAGCACTCGGGCACTGCACGAGGGCCCAGGGTCAGCAGGGGGCCCCATGAGATGCCCCTGGTACCTTTCAGAGGCTTTTTTGGGTGTGGTTTGAGTGTGTGCAAGGACACAAGGGGCCCCATGATCCCCTATTGCCCAGGGGCCCCATGAGTTGTCAGTCCGCCCCTGTAAGATCCTGACTGACCAACAACAACCCCCCCCCCCACCCGAGAGAGCCTTCTACTACCACCGCACCCCATGCACTGGCAACCCCACCCCCAGCGAGAGAGAAGACACTCACCTTCACAGCTCCGGACATCCCCGGGAACAAGAGTCAGGGTCTGCATAGACCAGTGGTTCTCAACCTTCCTAATGCCGCGGCCCTTTAATACAGTTCCTCATGTTGTGGTGACCCCCCAACCATAAAAATTTTTTTGTTGCTACTTCATAACTGTAATTTTGCTATTATTATGAATCGTAATGTAAATATCTGATATGCAGGATGTATTTTCATTGTTACAAATTGAACATAATTAAAGCATAGTGATTAATCACAAAAACAATTATAATTATAATTCATGAAGTGTCGTTTTACCTCCAATACTGCTGCTTTCAACCAGGGGCGGACTGAACATTTGGGCACTCGGGCACTACCCAAGGGCCCAGGGTCAGTTCCCCATGAGATGCTCCTAGTACCTTTCATAGGCTTTTATGGGTGTGGTTTGAGTGTGGGTGAGGACACAGAGGCCCCCATGACCCCCTATTGCCTGGGGGCCCCATGAGATGCCCCTGCTACCTTTCATAGGCTTTTTTCATAGGCTTTTTTGGGTGTGGTTTGAGTGTGGGTGAGGACACAGGGGCCCCATGGTCCCCTATTGCCCGGGGGCCCCATGAGTTGTCAGTCCACCCCTGCTTTCAACACAGTAGCTGCTTTCTACACAGTAGCTGCTCTTTACACATGTGTGACTGGTCCACATAAGTACATTATGGTGCCAATCCTGTCACATACATCTATATTTGTACGGGGTGTATGTGATGGGGTTGGCGCGATGATGTCATCACGCCGGGTACTCGTATGTGAGTGTATCTGCATGTGGGCGGACCCGCCTGGAGACGGATAGAGGAGCGGTGAGTCGGTTCCTAAGACCATCTGAAATATGTGTTTTCCGATGGTCTTAGGCGACCCCTGTGAAAGGGTCGTTCGACCCCCAAAGGGGTCGCGACCCACAGGATGAAAACCGCTGGCATAGACCACCAAGCAGCCCGCAGCCTCTCTCAGATCTCACCTAGTCCCCATGCTGCGTGTGTTCTTTCTTCCATCCCTTCTTTTGGGGGGCAGCGCTGCCCCCCTGAAAAAATGCCGCCCTAGGCAAATGCCTTGTTTGGCTTGTGGTAAATACGCCACTGTCGCCAGCAAAAGAGCTGGGGACATAGTGACACAACTGGACACAACTGGATTATATATATAAAAATATAATAAGGCATCCACCAGAAGCAATGTAGTGCAGCAAAATTCTCAGGCCTCATTCACATGGGCATACCGATCCACACTGTGGTGATCCATGCAGGGGCATGCAGGCTGCCTGTTGAAATCAATGACAGCCGACTGGTTGCACGAATTTCCAAGAGCATCCCCAGGTGAACATATTTTCTGGTCTGTGCATTGGACCCGCACATACAGTAAGTGCACTATGGGATGCACGAGGAGGTCCATGCAGCTGGTCACCTGTCATTGATTTCAACAGGCTGCCTGCATGTCCCTACATGCAGCACCTATGCATGTAGGAAGCTGGCCCTTCACACGGGCATACCAATATGTACAACTCTGTGCAGGGCAGTCTTCAGCCACCTCGAATGCATAGATGTTCTGTACAGGGGCAAGTAGACAGCCTGTTGAAATCAACAAGAGCCGGCCGGCAGCACGGATCTCCAAGTGCAGCCCAAAGTGGATATCTGTGCGGAACCAATGTAAGGATCAGAACGCAGCATTCTGATTTGTGCATTGGACCTGCTCAGATGTGCACTATGGGATGCCCATAGAGGTCCAAGCAGATCCGTGCAGCTGGTCACCTGTCATTGATTTCAACACTGTGCCTGCACGCCCCTTCATAGAACACCTATGCATTCCAGGTGGCTGAAGACAGCCCTTCACAAATAAAAGAGCATGTACATTCGTTCTGTGCAGCAAAAAAGGCGAACATTTATCAAAATCGAAAAACAAAGCCGTACTCCAGGGAAATCCCACTGGTGAGAGTTTATTGTGTATAGCTGGCTGTCGACACAGTCCCCCGCCCTTAGGCCACTTACCCCTGACATATTTTGCCCCTCCTATGAACCTCTATGGTTAAGCCTGAAACATCTGTAGCACTACCACCTCAGAGGTGGAAGAGATTTGGGTCCCCCTATAGTCCTGCATAGCCAGGCAGCATGCATTTCGTTCACTCAGACTTGCACCAGGAGACAGTAACCAGTCCTTGAGCTTTGTTTTGAAGTTTTATTAAGGGGTTTAGAACTTGGATGGGGTAAGGGGTGTATGGGATGCCCAAGGGAAATGGCAACTGAGAACTCCTTAGCAACTGTGTATCAGTCTTTACAGAAAAGGTTTCTCTTCTGGGGAGCTAGCCAGCATCTCCTGTAATACCATCCTAGACCCCAGATGACCCCAGATGGTGATGATCAGGACATTAGAATGAGGTATGGCAGTGATCAGTACACTGGTATGGCAGTAGCTAGGACACTGTTATGGGGTAGTGCAGTGATCAGGATGCTGGTATAGATTATGGCCGTGATCAAAACACTGGCGTGGGGTATGGCAGTGATCAGAACGTTGATATGGGGTATGGTGGTGGTCAGCATGCTGGTATGGGGTATGGCGGTGATCAGGACAATGGTATGGCATATGGGGTGATCAGGACGCTGGTATGGGGTATGGTGGTGATCAGGATGTTGGAATGGGGTATGGCGGTGCTCAGGATGCTGGTATGGTGTATGGAGGTGATCAGGATGCTATTATGGTGTACGGAGGTGATCAGGATGATGGTATGGTGTATGACTGTGATTAGGGCACTGGTATGGTGTATGGCGGTGATCAGGTTGCTGGTATGGTGTATGGAGGTGATCAGGGCGCTGGTATGGTGTATGGAGGTGATCAGGGTGCTGATATGGTGTATGGAGGTGATCAGGACTCTGGTATGATGTATGGCTGTGATCAGGATGCTGGTATGGTTTGGAGGTGATCAGGATACTGGTATGGTGTATGTCGGTGATCAGGGTGCTGGTATGATGTATGGCGGTGATCAGGGTGCTGGTATGGGGTATGACGGTGATCAGGATGCTGGTATGGGGTATGGCGATGATCCAGGGTCCTGATATGGGGTATGGAGGTGATCAGGATGCTGGTATGGGGTATGGAGGTGATCAGGATGCTGGTATGGGGTATGGAGGTGATCAGGGTGCTGGTATGTTGTATGGAGGTGATCAGGGCGCTGGTATGGTGTATGAAGGTGATCAGGATGCTGGTATGGTGTATGGCGAGGATCAGGATGCTGTATGGTGTATGGGGTGATCAGGATGCTGGTATGGTGTATGGGGTGATCAGGATGCTGGTATGGTGTATGAAGGTGATCAGGATGCTGGTATGGGGTATGGCGGTGATCAGGGTGCTGGTATGGTGTATGGCGGTGATCAGGGTGCTGGTATGGTGTATGAAGGTGATCAGGGGGCTGGTATGGTGTATGAAGGTGATCAGGGTGCTGGTATGGTGTATGAAGGTGATCAGGATGCTGGTATGGTGTATGAAGGTGATCAGGATGCTGGTATGGTGTATGGGAGGATCAGGATGCTGGTATGGGGTATGGTGGTGATCAGGATGCTGGTATGTGTATGGGGGTGATCAGGATGCTGGTATGGGGTATGGAGGTGATCAGGATGCTGGTATGGGGTATGGAAGGTGATCAGGATGCTGGTATGTTGTATGAGGTGATCAGGGTGCTGGTATGGGGTATGGAGGTGATCAGGGTGCTGGTATGGTGTATGGAGGTGATCAGGGTGCTGGTATGGGGTATGGAGGTGATCAGGGTGCTGGTATGGTGTATGAGGTGATCAGGGTGCTGGTATGGTGTATGGAGGTGATCAGGATGCTGGTATGGGGTATGGTGGTGATCAGGGTGCTGGTATGGGGTATGGTGGTGATCAGGGCTGGTATGGGGTATGAAGGTGATAAGGGGGCTGGTATCAGGGTGTATGAAGGTGATCAGGATGCTGGTATGGTGTATGGCGGTGATCAGGATGCTGGTATGGTGTATGGCGGTGATCAGGATGCTGGTATGGTGTATGGCGGTGATCAGGATGCTGGTATGGTGTATGGAGGTGATCAGGACGCTGGTATGGTGTATGAAGGTGATCAGGATGCTGGTATGGTGTATGAAGGTGATCAGGATGCTGGTATGGGTGTATGAAGGTGATCAGGATGCTGGTATGGGGTATGGTGGTGATCAGGATGCTGGTATGGGGTATGGTGGTGATCAGGGTGCTGGTATGGGGTATCAGGTGATAGGGTGCTGGTATGGTGTATGAAGGTGATCAGGATGCTATGGTATGGGTATGGCGGGATCAGGTGCTGGTATGGTGTATGGAGGTGATCAGGATGCTGGTATGGTGTATGGAGGTGATCAGGATGCTGGTATGGTGTATGAAGGTGATCAGGATGCTGGTATGGTTATGGAGGTGATCAGGATGCTGGTATGGTGTATGGCGGTGATCAGGATGCTGGTATGGTGTATGAAGGTGATCAGGATGGTATGGTATGGCGGTGATCAGGTATGCTGGTATGGGGTATGGAGGTGATCAGGATGCTGGTATGGTGTATGAAGGTGATCAGGATGCTGGTATGGTGTATGAAGGTGATCAGGATGCTGGTATGGGGTATGGAGGTGATCAGGGTGCTGGTATGGTGTATGAAGGTGATCAGGATGCTGGTATGGGTATGGAGGTGATCAGGATGCTGGTATGGTGTATGGCGGTGATCAGGATACTGGTATGGTGTATGGTGATCAGGGTGCTGGTATGGTGTATGGAGGTGATCATCTAGAAACTTCTCCAACCTCCTAGAGCCAGGGGGAGGTACCAGAGGACAGAGCTGTAGAGCGTTCCAGCCTGACCTGAAGTAAACCCTCTGACTCAAGCCCAGGCTTCTAGCAAGTCTCTGTCTATTCTCACAAACTGTGTACACTAGAGGATGCTACATGGTGTATGGGATGTAAGCCTGCCCAGCCCTCCTCCTCCCTCCATACTGTCTCTGGTGGATATTAACCCCTCACCTCCCTTATCCTGCTTCACCTCTAAACATAAACCCCTTCATTTTCATCCCACCACTGAATGTGACCAGTACATTAGCCCCTTCACTTCATCTTCCCTTTGTATAATCTACATATTTATTCGATTTAATGCATCATTCTAGAGCTCTGTGTTTACTAGTATGTTTCTTTATTCCCAGTAAATGGTGATAAAAAATTAGATCATTTTGGGGTCTCTGCTTTCCAAATGGGGGCCATTGTGGGGGTTTTCTGTCCTAGTATTTTTATTTTAATAGGAAGTAAGGGAAAGAGGCTTTTTTTTCAAACCGTTTGGCTATTTTTCTTTTTTTATTGTAAAACATAAAAAACTCAGCTGTTAATAAATACAACCAAAAGAACGCCCTAACTATCTCAAAAAATGATATAAAATTAATTGCATGACAGAGTAATTGTCAGCCAAACTATAACAGCACTGAAACCTGAAAAATGGCCTGGTAATTATGGAGTATTACTGGTACTCCGGTGAGTAATAAGAACAGTCTCCAATATCCCAGCATTCTGATTGGACATTGAAACTGCAGCAGCAGACTAATGAGGTCACCCCTCTGCTTGATCTGCTTGCTCACCTTACCAGCATGTTGACATGCAGACTCCGGATTAGCTCTCTCTCTCTTTCCTCTCCCTCTCCCAGTCTGAGTGCGGTTGTATAGGGGATTACAATAGACTAATATTCAAGTCATATATTGATGTATTATTGAATACTGAGCGACATCCTTTTGTGTATTTTGTATCTGCCTGGACTTTAAACTAAAGTAAGAAACATGTGCAAGAATGTATTTAGTACCCCTACTGTGACATATGAAACATACAATATGCAAAGTGACATTTCAGTAAATGTAGCTAGCTATTAATATCCAAATATACCCAGAAGAGGAAGCAAAGGCCTTTTCCCATGAGTTTCATTATGGTAAATAAAGTCCTGTAGGTAGGCTGTATATAGTACAATGTCATACTTCCCCACAGTCCCGGATTCCATGGGACTGTTCCAGGATTTTAATAAAATTCTGGTGTCCCACCACCAGCCAAATGCTGGAACACTCATTCCTGCACATGATTTCAGCTTCTCTGATGCTCCGTCAAGGGGAGTGATCTCCTGCCTGATATGAGCAATCCAGTTCCAACACAGGTTGAAAGCAGCTCAGGAGCATTCATAGGCAGGGGCGGACTGACCATTTGGAAACTCGGGCACTGCCTGAGGGTCCGGGGTCAGTAGGGGGCCCCATGAGATGCCCCTGGTACCTTTTTCATAGGCTTTTTTGAGTTTGGGCAAGGACACAGGGGCCCAATGATCCCCTATTGCCCGGGGGCAGTCCGCCCCTGCTCAGGAGCATTCATAGGCAGGGGCGGACTGACAACTCATGGGGCCCCCGGGCAATAGGGGATCATGGGGCCCCTGTGTCCTTGCCCAAACTCAAAAAAGCCTATGAAAAAGGTACCAGGGGCATCTCATGGGGCCCCCTACTGACCCCGGGCAGTGCCCGAGTTTGCAAATGGTCAGTCCGCCCCTGTTAATAGGTAATTATTTAATAGAGAGGCTGCAAAAAGTTCATTGAAGACATGACCAGACCCAACCTTCCAACACACAGCTTGTGATTGACAACCTCAGCTCTGTTCCAGTGCGCTGTGGGAAGTGGGGAATATCCATTCCCTCCAATCAGCTCTCAGAACTCACACCACTGAGCTCTGCGGTGTGTAATTTCAGCTTCTGGTCCCCTTTTTTCTGAAAGCTCAGATAAGCATTATAAATTCAGCACTTTGAATGGTTTCAGAGAAGAGAATACTGCGGATAAACAGGTACAACTTATGTAGGAGGACTTGTTTCATCTCTGTGTATCACCTGAGGCCAGTCACTTTACTGGGTTTACAATCACTTTAACTGTGGCTTGCCAAGGCACTTTTCACTCAGATTGTTGGCTGTGAAGCAGCATAGGCAGTTTTTAGTACAGTAGCATAAAGAAACAACCATAAAGAAAGGCTGTGAAGTAATGGTTTTGGATACACCCAAGCAGAGTAGTTAAAGGTACAAAAATGTCTTTATTATAAATCTCCCAATGAGGTGAAACCTTGCAAGGGGAAAAAAAAAACACGCACCACAAATATTAAAAGAATCAGCAATCCGGACTGCGATATCCACAGGCTGTTGTAGAGTACCAATCACCATGAATATACTCTATTCATTACAAAGTAATCTTTACCCTGAAATATAATCACAACGTTTTTATTCTGTAATGATGGCTTTACAGCATCATTTCTGACCTTTTTTGATATGCATTCACACAGATATGGGTTTGAATGATTTTTGTTCCCTTGGACAATGTTTATGGTCCTCAATGATTCCTATTTATAGGTTGATAGGAACTGTTATCATTCAGATGCCTACTAATTTCTTCATCTATTATAGTCATTTTATATGATGTTGACCTATTATCTTTTGATTCAGCACCAAGTTAATTATTGAATTACGTTGTGATTATATTTTTTCGTATTTTTCGCTCCATAAGACGCACTTTTTTCCCCGCAAAAAAGGGGGGAAAATGTCAGTGCGTCTTATGGAGCGAATATAAAGCGGCCGGTCTGGTATTTTTGCGGCCACCATGTCAGAATACCGGGCCTGTTGTCTCCTGCAGGGCCTTACCTGTTCCTCGCTCCAGCGCTGCACAGTCTTCCCGCGCTGGCTTCTGTGACAGCCGGGTGCCCACTGCGCATGCGCTGCGCTTTGTGAATGATCCGGTGTCTTCTGGGATACATGCGCAGTGGGCACCCGGCTGTCACAGAAGCCGGCCCGGGAAGAAGAGGGAAGGCAACTCCGCGGAAGTGGGAGCGGGTACCTGTCAAATTCAGGTACCCGCTCCCCCTCCCTCCCCAAAGGTCAGCAGTCTCTGATCATTCCCTTCACTGTCTGCAGTCTCTGGTCATTCCCTGCACTGTCTGCAGTCTCTGGTCATTCCCTGCACTGTCTGCAGTCTCTGGTCATACCCTGCACTGTCTGCAGTCTCTACTATGTCCGCAGTCTCTTGGTCATCCCCTGTACTATGTCTGCAGTCTCTGGTCATCCCCTGTACTA